ACTTTTTCAAAAATGAACATATGAATATAATTTTTTTATATAGATGCTTGATGTCTTTACCTATCATTTGGTATATTTTTTTTGTAAATTTGACCTTTTTTCTGCTCACAGGAGGGGATTTAAAATGAAAACTTTTTCACAAAAAATTAACTTTTTCAACTTAACTTTTGAAAATGTTCCGGAAAGTCTGACACTTTTATATATATCTTGAATTAAAGCTAATGTAATTTACTTTAATTTGAAAAAAAAAAATTTTGATCTCTGGACTTGTCTTCATGGTGAAAACGGCTACCGAATGCTATTTTTGTGTGAAAATTTTCGATTTTATAATTTACATTTTTTACTTTAAAGTGCTATAACTTTTTAAAAAATGTATGGATCAATACAATTTTTTCATGAGAAGTAGTATTTATATACATCTTTCATTGGATATACTTTTTTTTTTAAATCGGACCATTTCCCTTAATACAGGGGGGATTCAAAACATAAAATGCATATAGAAAGTAGAACTTTTTCAACTTAACTTTTGAAAGTGTTCCGGGACGTCTGACACTTTTATATATATCTTAAATTAAAGCTAATGTAATATACTTTATTATAGTAAAAAAAATTTGACCTCTGGTCTAGTCTTCGTAGTGAAAATGGCTACCGAATGCTATTTTTGTGTGAAAATTCTCGATTTTATTTTTTACATTTTTAACTTTATAATGCTATAACTTATTGAAAAGTGTATGGATCAACATNACATTTTTAACTTTATAATGCTATAACATATTGAAAAGTGTATTACTCACTGAGCAACCCAAGATAGCAACACAATGTTAAAAAAAAAAAAAATACATCCCTTTTATTTTCAGAGTTAATTTGTGAGGTATAGTTAATCAATCATTTTGTATAAAAGAAAATTGCATTTATAGTTTGTAAAACTGCTTTGGTTTTTTTTAATTATTATAAACTATTGTGCAATAATTATAGCCATGTTTTAAAAATGCGTGCAAAATATTTATAAAATAGTAACATGCAACGAGTATGTAGTATTATAACCGAACTGATATTGAAAATAGAAGACTTAATGAAGATTAATTAATGACGCTTAAGAAAATACAATAGCATTTAAAAAAAAAGCAACTGTGACTTGAGTAAAGACAGTTTCACAGAGAAAAGTCATAAAACCGCTGATCATGAACATTTTACGGGTAAAAACATAAAAACCGTGTTAAATATATTGTAAAACAATCATGATATATTAGAAAAATTTTAGGTTTGTTAAAATTATAGTTTTGAAATATATAAATATAAATATGTAATGATATAAATTTATCGTGACTGGACTCATTTGGTGTTGAAGTGGCGAATACTCAATGGTTTTAGAGTGTTATTGAATAACGTTAAAAAGGTCAAATATTTTAAATCTATAATTATTGATTCTATAGCCATAGCGATGAAAATCCGTCATCAAATATTGTATCAAATAGATTTCCACGTGCAATTTATTGACAATAAATGAAGCCCATGGTCGAAACCTACTGGTGTTAGAAAATTATATATAAATTCCTTATGACTTTCTATTTTATTCTTAAATTTCAGTTAATCTTTTCATAATAATAATAAAAATACAATTATAATCTAAAAAAAAATAAATAAAAAGAAGTGTTATTTTTTGTTCAATAATATATTTATTTAATAATAACAACAAGGGTTTACTTATGTATAATATACATAAAATGAATAAAATAATATTACGTTATACGAACGTCTAAAGTTTAGTGTATCAAAATACTTAATTTATTATTACAATGGCATATGCAATAGTAAAGTTTGAGGGGAATGGTACTCATACTTTATACAACTACTCCAGTGCTACGTAGCAAACCATAGTAGTCAGTGCTTTGAAAAATAATAATGCTCTAAATTCATAAATTACATTTTTTGTGATATTTTATTACATTTATAAATAAATTTCTTTGTCTATTTTGTAATATATTTTAAGTGTTTTGACAAATAAAAGAATTTTTAACAATTTTTTTTTAATACGTCAATGTATCTAACAAATATTTTTGCTTAAAAGAATACTTTGAATTTAAAAGAATATATTAAAATACAAGCATATTTTTTTTTGTATTTTACTTCGACTTTTAAAAAATATTTTCAACTTTTAAGAAGACTATTAGCATCTTAATTGACACGTTATAAAAAGGTGTTTAATAAAATAAATTGTAACGACGTTATGATTAAAGTAGTTGTGGATTCAATTTATTAGACTTTTAACTATAACCATAAAAAAATATAGTTTAAAAAAACTGAAAAACACGCTTTTAAAGCATATCGAACTAAAAAGTTTTAAATAATTTAAAAAATAAGCTTAAAACAATAATAAATGAAAAATACTAGTATATTATTGTAAAAAAATACGTCGGGCGCTCAATATACGAAAATTATGGCACAAAGACCCCACGCTTTTTTTCACGATGATAGTAGTATTTTTCGTTCATTTTTTTTTAAGCTTACTTTTAAAATTATTTTTTACTTTTTTGTTCGATATGCTTTAAAAGCGTGTTTTTCAGTTTTTTTAAACTATATTTATTTTCACTTTTTAGTTTTTTATGACATCGCTGTTACAATCACGGAGAGTTTATTGTCAATTATCACTAGTAATGGATATAATTTCTATATTGCCAGTTAGTATGTTTATAAACTCACAACAATGTGTCTTATTACCATTGATAATAAAGGCTATATGCTTGCTAATATCGTCATAAAAAACCAGTATGCTACCTGTATTTGTAATCCCTTATGTATTATACATGTATATTATCTCAAAAAAATTTGAATCTTTAAATGTTGATATCTAATAATAAACAATAAAAATTTGTTTATATATATATAATATTGATGATACGCGCGTATGTACAGGTACGAAAACCAAAAATTATACAGAAAAATAGTGTTTACGGCGAGTGGTGAATGCGTTACGACAGTCTAGTCTCAAGGCCATAGACGACGGGATACGCGAGATAATAACACGTGGCGCGTGGAGATTTACAAACAACAAACACACAACATACATGTGAAACCAATATAAGCGTGTTAATTAAGATAATTAAAAATATATTAAGTGAATAATGACAGTATTGAAACCCGACATGAAAATCAATATCTCTATATTTCGACGGCGCGTGCGGCGTATGTAAGTCACAGATGAACTGGTTTACATAGTCGCCGACGTGTCTCTCGGTGCTGTACCCCCCGACCTGTCCTATCCACCAACCAACGGACAAGACAAACTCGTGTTATCGTCAACACTAACGAGTGCGACGGTGGACAGCTGATAACAACACGACCGGACAGCGTGCTAATTCAAAGTAAATGAATAATGCGCTACTACGGTCCGTGTCATAATTTAGCTATTTTAAGGAAATTTCATGACGACTCAACATATAATACTTCAGCACGTTGACTGTACACAATATTTGTTTATTATTATTATGTACGAAGGTTCCAATGTATGGAATCATTGATATTAAGAACATTTTTAATAAAATTGTTGAAACAAGATTATTATATAAAGAACAGATTTATTGAACGATAAGCCATAATTCGTTGAACCATTGAAAAAAAAAACATTGAACTAATGAATTTAGTTATTATTGGTTAATAAACATCGTTTATTAATATTATGAACAGTTTTTTTTCGGCATGCTGAAAACATATATTAGCTTCGATGCGAAGCTGAGAAGGTATTAGTTTTACTAAGATGTGTGTTTTTTTTTTTTTTTTTTTTTTTTTTTTTTTT